AAAACCATTGTAGAGTATTTCTGCATCAATTTATGGTTGGGTAAATTTGAATTTGTTTTCTTCTGTGAGGGATTATATCCTCCCGCCCTTACACATTTGTAGTATTTGCTATTTTTTACATATTACTTTATATCCCTCCCTTGTTTCCTCCCAGCCCTACCCTCCCTCTCTCTTCCCCCATCCCTCCCCACTAGTCCACAGAAAGGGGGAAGCCCTCCTCTCTTACCATCTGACACCAGCCTATCAAGTCTCATCAGGATTGCCTATACCCTCTTTGGCTGTGCCCTGGCAAGGCTGTCCCTCCAGGAGGAAGTGATCAAAGAGCAGGCAAGCATGGAGACCGAGCTGCCATGGGCTACATCTAAACCAAGGATCTAGGTCCTCTCCATGCATGGTCCCTGGTTGGTGCATCAGTCTGTGCAGGAGTCCCTGACCCCAGCTTTGTTGGCTTTGTTGGTCTCCTTGTGGAGCTCCTGTCCCCTCCAGGTCCTTCTATCTCCCTACTCTTCCATAAGACTCCCTGTGTTCTGCCTAAAGTTTGTCTGTGAGTCTTAGCATCTGCTTTGATCCCTGCTGTTTGGAGTCTTTCAGAGGACATCTATAGTAGGCTCCTATACTGTTCCCTCTGTTCAATTGCTTCCGGTGTCTAGTCTGTTTGCCCTTCTGAATGAGAATTAAACATACGCCCTAGGACCCTCCTGTTATTTAGCTTCTTTAGGTCTATAGATTTTAGTATGATTATCCTGTATTATATGGCTAATATCTGCTTATAAGTGAGTATATACAATGTCTGTCTTTCTGGTTCTGGAATACCTCACTCAGGATGATCTTTTCTAGTTCCATCCATTTGCCTGCAAATTTCATGATTTCCTAATTTTTAATAGCCGAGTAGATGTGCCAAATTTCTTTATCCATTCTTCAGATGAGGTACATCTAGGTTGTTTCCAGGTTCTGGCTATTACAAATAAAGCTTCTGTGAACATAGTTGAGCAAATGTTTTTGTTGTATGGTAGAACATCTTTCGTATATGCCCAGGTGTGATATAGCTGGGTCTTGAGGTAGCACTGTTCCCAATTTTCTGAGAAAGCACCAGATTGATTTCCAAAGTGGTTGTACCAGTTTGCACCCCACCAGTAATGGGAGAAGATTTCCCTTTCTCCACATCCTCTCCAGCATGTATTGTCTCCTGAGTTTTTGATCTTAGCCATTCTGATGGGTGTAAGGTGAAATCTCAGGGTCATTTTGATTTGCATTTTCCTGATGACTAAGGATGTTGAGCATTTCTTTAAGTGTTTCTCCACCATTCAATATTCTCTGTTGAGAATTCTCTGTTTAGCTCTGTACCCCATTTTTTAATTGGATTGTTTGGTTTGTTAGTGTTTAATTTCTTGAGTTCTTTATATATTTTGGATATTAGCCCTCTGTCGGATGTAGGGTTGATGAAGATCTTTCTACCTCTTTTTCTTAAAATTAAATGAACTTTATCTTAAAGCAGTGGCAGTCAGTGTTTCCCACACATTGTGACACTTAGCTGGTTTCTGTAGCATCCTCCGAGTTTCCGAGTCAGTAAGTGGATGCCTCATCGAAGTAAGGCTGTGCATGTCTAAATAGCGCAGGTGGTACACGATTAGCTTCTGAAGCACCGGCTGAGTATTCTTCAAGTAAACTCAGAGGAAGGGTCCTTGCCCTTGAAGACCGAAGGATGAATTTTAAAATGTAAAGATGGGAGGCAGGTGGAAAAGTCCAAAAGGAGGATAAGTGGGATAAGCTATAATCCTCAGACAGAAATACAGCTGTGAAGCTCAATAGTTAGGTAATCAGAAATTTTCTAATTTCTTAATGTGTGTGGTAGGGGGTGGAGGGCAGGATGGGAGGGAGGATGGTAGGGTGAGAGAATTCTAGGTTCTGTGTGGATTTTTTATTTTTATTTTTTGAGATATTCTAGTGTTTGGACAAAGCTAGCAATCTCAAAGTTTCTAGGGGTTCTGAGTTTTTGTGTGTATTTCATGTTTACGCAACCTAGGGAATCATACCAGGCACACAGTGACCAGCGTAAATGGCACATGTTCTGTGGGCCTGACTGTTGTCACCGACACCTACTGCTTGTGGCTTTGGGAGAGTTGTTCCGTTTCCTCCTCTGCCACGTGGCCTTAGATATGGCAAGATCTCCTTGGAAGTCTACAGTGACTGCTTAGCTGTGTTCCCGAGGCCAGTACTATAAATGAGGCCAGGACTGTAAACACAGTCAGCTGTAGACGACAGCCATGGTGGACCTGTACTTTCAGTATTAGTAAAATTGTCTTTGATTCTGCCCTGGGCAAGTTGGAGACACAGTCCAGACACTTGGCAGAAAAGATGTTTCATTATGTGGACAGATGGGGTGGTCACCAAGGCAAGCCATGGAGTTAGATTAGGGGCTTGATTAGAAAGAACTGTGTGGAAGGGAGTTCTTGTATAACTTTTTCCCAGAATGTTAAATTATGCCACTAAAGAGATTTTCTGCCTTTCATCTAAGATGTTCTAAAAAAAACCTGCCTTTTTGGTGGAAAATATTTTCGTTAATTTTTTAACTTTCATCGAGGATCTAGTGAGTGCAGAAAAATTTGCCACTTTCAAGTCCTTAGATTCAAAAGCTTTGTTCCTCTGTCTGTCATGAACAAAATCTCAGCCATGAAATACCAGGGCTAAGTTCCCTTCTTAACTAATACCAGCATCTTTGGCCTTGTGCCCGACCTCTCTGCCTCAGCATCCTCCCTGAAAATATGCCCCAAGCTATGCTAAGGTGTTTGAAGATCTAAAACTGTGGGTCAGAGGGTCACCTCCCATAAGGCACATGTGGAAACCACCAACCTAGCTTTGATTCAGGATTATTTGGGAACCTTTCCTTAAGCATTTTAAAAAATTGGGTTTAATGTAGTGTGAGAGTGTGTGTGTGTGTGTGTGTGTTTGTGTGTGTGTGTGTGCGCGCGCGCATGCATTTGTGTACATGCATTAATGCATGCATGGAGATCAGAGACAACTTGAAGGAATCAGTTCTTTCCTTTCACCATGAAGGTTCTGGGGATCAAGCTCAGCTTGTCAGGCCTGGTGACCAGCAGAATCTACTGAAGATTCAGATCCACTGAATCCTCTTGCCAGTCCTATGAGGGACCTTTTATCCTGTCCTGTTACCTCGGAAGTCTTAAAATGAACATCCCATTAAAAAGGCATACGTGTGAGCTCTCCTCCCTGTAATGGTGGAATGCTTAGCAGAAACATTTGCTGAAGGAGGAGATGGAGCGTGCTTAGCTGGGTGTGGGTTTTGCAGGGAGCTCTTCTGTCAATCTGTTAGTAACTTAGTCATCATTCTACATGGCACACCCTTCCAGACACATTTCATATATAATGAATAATTTCACAAGCTAGTCTGCGCGATTTCTGTTCAGAGGAAGGCAGATGCTCGCCCAAGAGGCATTAATTTTTCAAGGAGGCTGAATTAACTGGTTTCCTTTGACTGTGTCATAGAAGGTTGGGTTGACTGGGGTTCACATGTTTTTTGTCACATAGGTTGGAACTCTGCCTCAAAGCCTATTAGAACAGTTAAAGAGTTGGCAAGCCCGTGTGCCTGGAATGGAACAGACTAGTAGAAGGAGTAACAAGAGATGAGAAGAAACAGAGATCACGAAAAGCCTTTAGGCTGTAGTTCTTGGTGTATGCGTGTGCATGTGCCTGTGCCTGTGCGCGCAAGTGTGTAAATGTTCCTTCCCATACCTGTGTGGCAAGGGCAGGAGCATAGAGTTTGATGTCTCATGATTCTTTCAATTGCTCTCAACCACAGTTTTTGGGACAGGGCCTCTCACAGAACCTAGACCTTTCTATTTTCGCTAGACTGTCTGGTCTGTGAGCCCTTGAACTCTACCTGCCTCTAGTCCTCTGGCCCAGTTCTTCTGTTACAGATGCACGTGGCCTACTGGCCTTTTATTGGGTGCTGTGGGGGACAGCAGCAAGTGATGTGATTCATGGCGTGTTCCCCACAGCCCTGAGCATCCCCCTGGAGCACAGGCCCCACAGGGCTGCAGCGTGCCTAGCCATAGCCCTCAACAGCTGAGCCGCTCTGCTAGTTGGACCTTCCCACGGAAAAATAAAGTCATCCACCTTTGAATTAGAACCCCAGCCTGTCCGCCTAACTCAGGATACCAAACTAGAGGAACAAATAGTGTTTCTTGCAGTACAGACCTGTGACCCTGAACACATTTGTGAAAAAACGGGTTCGTCCCACAAATGCCCGTGGTCACAGCATCTTGCCTTTGGCGTTCTCTGCAGCACGAGTGCCATTGTGGTTCTGTTCGCCTGAAAGTTGAGTTGTCTGCGATGCTTCATTTCTCAGCCAGTGGGATGGTAGTTCTGGTAGCCGGCTGCAGCTCCTGTGTGCACTGGGGTCATGATAATGTCGTCCTATTCAGATAAAAAGTGAAATAGAAATTTGTTTGTCCTGTTTTCGTTCTCAATTCTCTCAAGGATCCCTCCTTCAAGTGACAGACTTGGCTTTCTTGGTTGTTGCAAAGACATGAATGCAGAAACCCAGTATTCATGTCTATGTGTGTGTGTTTTCTTTTTTAGACAGTTAAAAATAGAGTTCTGTGATCTCAGATAGAAAGTGTCATTTATAGCCTCTCTTAACACATCAGTGTTTGTTCTCTGTGGGGCGTGAACTTTCAGCTCCTTGCAGACAAACACCTGACCTACTCTCTTATCTACCACTCACTCAACACGCCTCTTCTCTTTTTAACCCTGCCCTGGCTGCTTAATTTGCCACCTTTTGTAATCCAGGCTGTGTGGAAGGGAAGGAATCCCCCTTTGCACCCACTCCTGGTCATATCTAACAGCTCTCCGTTCTGTCCACACATGACGTCTTTGGTTGTTTGGAGGGTGGCTCCTGGCTGGGATTCAGGTGATGTGCCCTTGAATTCTCTGCCTCATTCCGTGCTCCTTTGTAATTGGCTTCTCTTGTGGTCTTCCAGAATACCAGGCTGCTATCCTACATCTGAAGAGGGAGCACAAAGAAGAAATTGAAAACCTGCAGGTATATCTCTTTGATTCTACTGAACTGGCTTTCTGGTGGTTATCTTTTTCAACGTGCTGAAGTAAATATTCCTTTCTCGTGCAGGGACTATTTAACTAGATAGTATCCACAGCTGCCAGATGCCAGCGGGCACCAAGTGAAATAAATATTCCTCTTAGTGGGGAGTCTGTAACTAGATTTCATCTGCAGCTCACAGCTGCCAATGGGCACCAACTTTATTCCAGGATGAAAGCCTTGGATGCAGTACTTAATAAACTCTGGGTTCTAAGTTTGAAAAAAAAAATTACCGTAAATGCCTTTGGCTTTGGCTGGAAGGGTGATTCTGGTTTTTTTTAATCAGGAAAGAAGACAGTCTTGAGACTTTTACTGCTTGTGGGAAGGATTTTAAAACTCCATGTTGCTATACACACTGTAAATCATTTCAGCCTTCACTCCTTCCTCTGCGGCATGCCTCTTAGCCCCTCCCTGGGTTATGAGATCACGCAGCTCAAGAGCCTGCTGAGTCATTCTGTGTCCTCAGGGTGTGCTGAAAGGTGCCAACGGGTCCTCCTCTGTTTTCCATCTAATTGTTAGTCTCTAGGTTTTGTGTTTGCTTACAGGGCATATGACAGGAAGTTCAGAATCTTAATTTCAAGCCGCTGCACAGTGAATCAGATTGAGTCTACTAGATTAATGGGCGGTAGCCCTGTGTATTATTCAGGAAGTAACAGTGGCAAACTTTAAATAAAACTCTTTGCTCCTTTAATGCAAACTTATTATTTGCCACTTTTATCAGTTTGTGGCTAAAGTATCCTTCCTTTTAAATTTTACTGACAAGTAGAAAGTAATTTATAGTGCTCAGCATGTTAGGAAACAGTATGCACCCTGGAGTGACTAAATCGAATTCATTTATAAATGTGCTACTTTAATGAACTTGTGGATCAAATATTCTTCCTGTCCAATTTTTTTTTTTGTTGACAGATAGGAGATGAATTAAATTTATGCTGCACAGCATGTTTTGAAGCATCATACTTTGTAGCATGACTGATTGGGATTCATTTACAAATGTATTACTTCATATACCCATGTTTAATAAGTAAACTCTCCACCAAAACTAACCATTTCAACTCACTTGTCACATGTGTGTGTGTATATATATACATACACATACATATATGTATATACATATATACATATATCACATGTATGTGTATATATGTATACACATACATGAGTGTATACAACTCACTTGTCACATGTATGTGTATATGTATATACATATATATCATA